TGCTTGCTACACCGCTGTATGGGGAATTATGGGATGCGGTCATTGAAGCACGGGCGACTAGCCCATCAGGCAATAGAGGGCAACCAACCCGCCAATTATTTCAAAAGGCAATAGTGGGCAACCAATCATTTTAAAGGTCAACGCATGATCCATGCATGATCAGCTTGTGCGCAGCTTGTGCACCATGGGGATAAAAGGCACACCATTGTTCCGGTCGGGGTCCCTGCCTGAAAGAGTGACCACTGTGCTGGTGCACTGAGGCTCGGACCCTGGCTAGCCAGAAAATAAACCTCCTCTTGTGTGATTGTATCCTCGGTGACTCTGTCTCTCTGTCCGGTAACGCTGTGGGTATCCCGACTCTAACACTAGCACTCTGGGAGGCCGAGGCAGAGGATCGCTCAACGTCAGGAGTTTGAAACCAGCCTGAGCAAGAGCGAGACCCCGTCTCTACTATAAATAGAAAGAAATTAATTGGCCAACTAAAAATATATATAGAAAAAATTAGCCGGGCATGGTGGCGCATGCCTGTAGTCCCAGCTACTCGGGAGGCTGAGGCAGGAGGATCGCTTGAGCCCAGGAGTTTGAGGTTGCTGTGAGCTAGGCTGACGCCACGGCACTCACTCTAGCCTGGGCAACAAAGCGAGACTCTGTCTCAAAAAAAAAAAAAAAATCTCTGTAGATATTTAACAATAATCATTAAGTACTAACAGCTGCATCACTGACTTCAGAAGTGAGGAAAACACCTTCTAAATTATATAGATTTGAGCTAAAGCAATCACTTTCCCCACTGATAATTAAATCTCAACAAAGTTTGATATCACATCTTTTTTTCATGGCATCATCTTTCAAAAACCACATTTTAACAACATAAAACAGATCTACAATAGCACTAAAAATTAATGTCACTCAGTAGATATAAACTTTTCTGACAGATTGGATCCAGATAGCATAGGGGCCTGCTCATCACAGCACACCAGTGGGTTAAGGATTCCTATTATAGGGCCAAGATGAACATACCTCATCTATCAGCAGAACATTTCTTCTACAACTACCAGAGAACTGGTGATGCTGCCAGTCATCCTCTCTTGAGGAAAGACACCCTTTCATTTGGGTGGCTAGCCCACCATGAGATGGTGTACCCTTCCTCTTTTCTGGGTAGCTCCATTTCATCAGTTTCAATATCAACAGCATATCCAAGTTCCTTAGCCTAATGTTATTAAAGCTGCACATAAAACTCTACCTTCCATTAACAACCATGTAAGAAATTTTACAAGCAGATCCCTTCAACAGGCTGATTCAAACAGCGGGATCTGACAATATGGCAAGTAGCATACTTGATATTCTCAGAATTCAGGTTAAGAGATTATGCAAGATTGTTGAAAAAAGGCATAAATTTACTGTATATTTACATGAACCACAGTTTGCACTTGGGGACAGTAGTTATTAAAATAGGTAATAGAGGGCAACGTTCAAGTGCCCAAAGCACCGCCTTTTGTGACAGAGGAGACAAATTTCAGAACTACATTCTCTAGGTAGTAAGAGATAGGATGTAAGTTCTTGTCAATAATTCCAGAAATGGACATAGACATCAGAGATGCTTTTTACAGATTAAAAAATGAGAAAAATGGGCTGGGAGCAGTGGCTCAAGCTTGTAAACCTAGCACTCTGGGAGGCCGAGGCAGAAGAATTGCTTGAGCTCAGGAGTTCAACATCAGCCTGAGCAAGAACAAGACCCCATCTTTACTAAAAATAGAAAAAATTAGCCGGGCATGGTGGCGCATGCCTGTAGTCCCAGCTACTTGGGAAGCTGAGGCAGGAGGATCTCTTGAGCCCAGGAGTTTGAGGTTGCAGTGAGCTAGGCTGACGCCACGGCATTCTAGCCTGGGTAACGACAGAGTAACATTCTGTCTCAAAAAAAAAAAAAAAAAAGAGAGAGAGAGAGAGAGAGAAATGACATGTGGCCAAAGATACATATGGAAGTCGCAATAGTGGAGAACAAGTATTTAGTTTGAGGAGGACTTCTCAGCTGTAAGATCTTTAACATTATTCATTGTCATGTAGCCCTTCACTGGATATGGCCAACTACAATGAGGCAAAATTGGCCCTTGTCAAGACTGCAAAATCCTTTGTTTAGTAGCATCATTAGTGTTTCAATTTGTCTCATTAGTGAGAATTAATTAGAGAGTAAGTTAGTATATAAAACAAACATTCATATGCGTACATCTTTAACCACTTGGGTACAGTGCTCACTGGCCGCGACACCTTGCCCACAGGCGGCGCTCATAGTCCCCATGATAGTGTGTGCTGTGCATTGACGACGAATCGTTTTGCTCTTGTGTGATGAGGAAAGCTTTAAAGCACTGAAAGCTTGTTTTACTTCATAGGCAGCTTTATTTGTAATGTAAATCAGAATAGGTAACATATACATATATGTTTTCATTGCGTTATTTTTAAATGTTCACAATTTTATTTTGATAAATGAAAAATTAGAAAAGTCATATCACGGCTGTCAGCTAGTCTCTGTGCGCTATCGACTATAGTCACCGAAGTGGTTAAATGCACTGATATTTCCCATTTTCTCCAGCAGAGGTCACAAAATAGCAATACAGGAATATGAAAATCTATGAACCAAGAAAACATTTTAGAGTGATTTTCTCAAGGTAGGAATATGAAGGGTTTTAAAAATTATTTTTCCTTACCCATATTTTCTAATTGCATTTTTACAGTAAATGTGCTTTACTTTTGTAATAATTAAAAAGCAATAACATTTATTTCAAATTTTATAAAAAAGCATTGCTGGCATGTGTATTTATCTTGTATTAAGTCAGAGATACTGCTATAATTATTGTATTTTTGTAGCTGCACAAAGATCATTGGAAATAGTCTGGAAAAGCAGTGTATTTGGCTATCATCATGAAAAATTGTGTAAGTGTAACATTGTTTCTGCAATTGATGACTATGAACAATCTCTCCCAAACAAGGGACTTAATGTCAGAAAAAAAACAAAGCATCCTGAATACAGCTCTGAATTGACAGCAATCTCTCACACACATAGACAGAAAAGTGAATATAATCTCTGGTCACTGCCTTTGTCTAAAGAAATCTAAGAGATCTTAGTGTTCTGAGAAGTCAGTCTCTACTAGTCTTATGGGTAGTATAGGAAGATATATCAGTCAACATGACCTACATTTAAAAAAACAAAGAACCCCACAAAGGGTGCTAAGAACTGCTGATTGATGTTCAACAAATCACACTATCACCATGCTACATTTTCATTTCTAATTCATGTGTCTGTTTTTCTGCTAGACACATATGAAAGCTAGGTGAAAAGGCTTATAAAACAAAATTTCAAGGTCAATCAAAACATTTATTTATAAATTAAGGAAACCTTTTACCCACATTATACCAAATTAAGTATTAATAAATGTTTACTTTCTGTTTTATTAAATGATTCATAAGACATGGTCTGTTATTTGTTCTTGATAATATCACTCACAAATAATATAAGGGTATCAAAATTGTTATATAAATCAAAATCGACTGTTGCTAGCTTCTTCTGTCTTCTGAGGGGATGATTTCTACCAGTGATGGATAGGTTTCTATACTGCTTACTTCCACCTATGGAGCAAGTGAGGAGGAGAAAGGAAATACTAAAATTCAAAACCTCTGCCCCCCCAGTGGGACCCAGAGTGGGTGACTCTTTGCTTGCCAGAGAATATCAATGAGTTTTTGGACCAAGATGAGGATTCTGGGAAAACAGAAATGCAGGGAGATGTGAAGAGAGTCTGAGAACCAGCAACACGGTGGGAGACTGGACCATGCAGAGAAATATAACCAGGGAGAGATACTCAGGGATGCTTTAGTCCAAGGGGTTGTTAGAACATCCAGTTCTAACAGTTTTAAGTTGTTTGTATTTCTGCAATTGAAAAGCTCTCTGTTGCTCAAAACTTCAGTCACAACTCCTGCTCACAAATGCGTGGGTGGTCTGAGGAAAATCAAGGTGAAGGGGTAAGTTTGAACCACGGTCGGTATAGAACAAAGGGAAGAGAAGAGTCACAGGCCATGGGATATGAATGACCATAGGTGTCGTGGAAGCAGGGACCATGAGCCACAAATAATCATGGAAATGAGAGACCAGTAAATTCACAGAAATCTTGAGGATATCAATGGAGTATCCCCACAAAAGATGGGATTTGGGATTTGAGCCACTTTGATGTCAATCTCCAAAGAAGAATAACTTTAGCTGATAGATAAGACATAATAATACATTTTTTTTCTCACTCTGTTGCCTAGGCTAGAGTGCCATGGCATCAGCCTAGCTCACAGCAACCTCAAACCCCTGGGCTCAAGTGATCCTCCTGCCTTAGCCTCCCGAGTAGCTGGGACTACAGGCATATGCTACCATACCCGACTAAATTTTTTTATATGTTTTTAGTTGTCCAGCTAATTTCTTTCTATTTTTAGTTAGAGACAGGGTCTCGCTCTTGCTCAGGCTGGTTTTGAACTCCTGACCTTGAGGGATCCTCCCACCTTGGCCTCCCAGAGTGCTAGGATTACAGGAGTGAGCCACCGTGCCTGGCCAATTTTTAAATATCCTATTAGATATACTGCAAAATACTCTTTATAACATGAAGTTTAGGATAACATTTGTAAAACTTTACACAGGTTTTCACATAACATAAAAAGTCCCAGATATTTAAATAGAAATATTTAATAAATAAATAATAAATGTTTTCTCTCTACGGATTTTGTTAAACATTTTACCAAAGGGACAATACTACTTCATCAATGATCTTTCTAAATAGATTTAGAATTCCCCTTTGAAAATAGTGAATGAATTCTTAGAGTGGCTGAAATACCTTTATAAAATACATATGCATCAACCAGAGATACAGATGATTCTCTGAGAAAATGATCTGGAACTCAGATAGAGAAATACTCATAAAGAAGCTTCCAAATACTCATAAAGAAGCATCCTTCAGAGTCTGGCCCAGACTTACCTTTACATGATGGATCAGACGCTCAACTTCATTCACTTTGTAGGTCTCCAATCCTAGCTCCTTGGCTAATCTTAAGATACGATTCTGAGTTGGCCCAATATAGGATCCTCCAAGGTCTACATATTTAACCTTCTCATTCTGTTTTTCCATGGAAAAAAATAAAAACAAATATTTTTGAAAATATTCCTAAAATAAAAAAGACAGTCCTGAAATAAGCAAATTGATATTTCATGAGTTATAGATACATTTTGAGGTATATCCATGGATAACTGTATTCTGTTCTCAACTCTACTTCATTCATGTGACTTAGTTATTAAATTAATCTTTAATTTAAAGCAAAAAATTGATTGAACGTTGAATAGGTGTGAGACTTCTGAACCTCATCATTCACAATATAACACAATATGGTTTAGTTTTTAGTCCCTTGAATTTGTAAGCTATGAATTGTTGATGAATCTCTTTACTTAAGTACTTCAGGCTAATTTTGAGGGATCAAATGCTAGAGAGAAAGCAAGAAAGGAAATCATCAATTCTTATGTGGTTTGTTAATTAGGACATTTGAAAGATAGCACTAGGAAATACTTTGTCATAATTTGGACTTTGAAATTGTTTTTATGTTTAATAGTATTTTTATATGGTTTTGAATTGGTTTCATTTCCAATAACTAAGGGGCAACCTTTGAACAAGAAATGAATAGAATAGTTTCCTATCTCTGAACGTGTCTAAGCAGAACCAGATACCTGTTAGTCAGGGATACCATAAGTGGTCTTCTTTTTCTATTTTTGTTTGTTTACTTGTTTATTGTCTAGCTTCTCACTTACCTCCCCCAAAAGAACACAATTTTTATAAGGGCAGGGATCTTTTTTTTATTCACTGAAGCATTATAAACACCTATAGTAGTTGCCCAATAAATTTTCTCAAATAAATGAAAGAAAAGTGTTTTTATAAAAACATTAGCATTTAGTCATACCAAATCAGCCTCTTATGTAAAAGTCACTCTTATATGCCACATTTGTGGGTAATATGAAGATTTCAATAGCTAGAGGAGACAAAATGTACATAGGTAATAATCTATAAGGCAACATATAATAATTGTTCATGTGTGGAACAGGTAAGTGGCATTAACACAGAAGAAAGACAAGTGGCTTTTGATTGGAGTAGAAAAGGATGATATCGTGAATGTATGTGATGGTTTTGCTGTATGACAAAGGTGAAGAGAGATATTTGAGGGACAAATAATGACAAAAACAATGGCCAAGAGTTAAGAAAGGCTAAGGCAAATTTGGAGACCTATGTGGAATCACAAATAACTAGGGCACATATTAGGGTCAATGACAGATAAGGCTTTCAGGCAGAAAGCCTCTGGCTTCCAAGACTGGGTAAGGTGCCCTTTTATGTCTCCTGTGGCACCACTCCTAGCTGGCACCCACTTCCATTAGAGCATTTCTGTTGGTGACTTGTAATTAGGTAGTTACGACAGTCAGTGTCCCCCAGGAGACGATGAGCTCCATGGGATGAGGCCATGCTTTGGTGATCTCTGTGCCTAACGCATAGTAGGAATGCAGTAGATATTTGTTGAAAACAATTTCAATTCTAAATGAGATGACTCAAAATAAAGAATGAGCACAAAATGTTAGACATATATATTGATGAATCCTTCTAAAGTAGAGCTGTAAGTCAGGATTTTATATGTCTCACTTCTCTGGGTATGAAGATACCCTTGTAGTGTCTAATTCTATTATTCTAATTTTGAATGTATGGAAGTAGGGCATTTCGTTGCAGAGAAACTTGCTTTAATTGACTCTATGTTCAATATAAAATTATTATTTTTAGGCAACAATGTCAGAATTGTAATAATTGGCAATTGAAATAAGAGTACTTATAATATAATGCATAATTAATTTTAAAATTATAACAATTATAACTATAAGCTGAAAGAAAGAGAAAGAAGGAAAAATAGGCAGGTAAAAGTTAACTTTGTGTGACTAAGTGGAAAGAGTGTCCATGTTCATGGATTGGAAGAATCAATATTAAAATGTCCATACTACCCAAAGCTATCCACGGATTCAGTGTAATCCCTATCAACATTCTAATATCAATTTTCACAGAAATAGAAAAAACAACCCTAAAATTTATGTGGAACCACATGAACAGCCAAAATAAAGTTGAAGGCATCACACTACCCAACTTCAAAATATATTATGAAGAAATTATAATCAAAACAGCATGATACTAGAATAAAAACAGAATCATCAACCAATGAAACAGGATAAAAAGCCCAAAAATAAACCCATGAATTTACAGTTAGTTGATTTTTGATAAAGGTGCTAAGAGCACACAGTTGAAAAAGGACAGTCTATTCAATAATTGGCTCTGGGAAAACTGGTTATCCACATGCAGAAGAATGAAATCAGACCCTTACCTTACACCATGCACTCAAAAATGGATTAAAGACTTAAATATAAGACCTGAAACTGTAAAACTACTAGAAGAAAATATAAGGATAAAGCTCTACAACATTCACATGGACAATTTTTTAGATAAAACTTCAAAAGCTCAGGCAACAAACATAAAAATAGACAAATAGGACTACATCAAATTACAAAGCTTCTGCACAGCAAAAGGAAAAATTAACAAAGTAAAGAGACAAACCACAGGATGGGAAAAATATTTACCAACCATGCATCTGATAAGGATTAATATACAAAATATAAAAGGAACTCAAAGAACTCAATAACAAATAATCTGATTTAAAAATAGGCAAAGGACCTGAATAGACACTTCTCAAAAGAAGACATATGAATGGCTAACAGGTTGATAAAAAACAAAAAAGCTCAGCATCACTAATCATTAGGGAAATGCAAATTAAAACCACAATGAGTGTTCACCTCATACTTGCTAGAATGGCTTTTATCAAAAAGATGAAAGATAAACAGTGTTATTAAGGTTGCAGAGAAAAGGAAACCCTTGTATACTGTTGGCGGAGTGTAAGTTAGTATAGCCATTATGGAAAACAGTATGGGGGTTCCTCAAAAAACTAAAAATAGAACCACCATATGATCCAGCAATTCCACTTCTGGAAATATATCTAAAGAAATTGAAATTAATATATTGTAAAGATATCTGCATGCCCACGTTCACTGCAGCATTATTTACAATAGCTAAGATATGGAACCAACCTAAGTGTCCACCAGTGGATGAATGGATAAGGAAAATATGGTATATATACACAATGGAATACTATTCAGCCCTAAAAAAGAAAGGAATTCTGTCGTTTGGGACAACATGAACGAATCTAGAGGACATTATGCTAAGTGAAATGAGCCAGGCTTAGAAAGATAAATACCTCATGATCTCACTCATATGTGGAATCTGAAAAAAGTTGAATTGATAGAAGTAGAGAGTAGAAGGATGATTACCAGAGAGGCTGTGGGGTGGGGAGCAAGGGAATGTGGAGTTGCTGGTCAAAGTTGCAAAGTTTTAGCTAGACAGGAGGAATAAGTTTCGAGAACTATTGCACAGCAGGGTTACTATAGTCAATAATAATGTATATTTCAAAATAACTAAGACAATAAATTTCAAATGTATCACCACAAAAAATGTCAAGGAAGTAAGGTGATGGATATGTTAATTAGCTTGATTTAATCACTCCACATTGTATACATATATCAAAACATTACATTGTACTCCATAAATGTAACAAAATTATGATTTGTCAATTAAAAATATGTAAATTTTAAAATAAATAAATGAAAGATTCTCAAAAAAAGCTTCGTTTGTATGGCTGGAATGATTGTGTTGGTGTTGCAGAAGCCTCAAAGTTATAGGAAAAAAAAGTACAAAGAATTATGATTTTTTCCCCCTATTTCTCTCTCTCTCTCTCTCTCTCTCTCTCACACACACACACACACACACACACACACACACACACACACATACATTTCCCTCCTCCCCAATCCTAACTCTATGAATCCAAATATCATGAGATGAGAAGACAGAAAAAGGACAGAAGAAAAGAATAAGGAGGCAAATAGAGAGAGGCCGTAAAGACGGTTTCAGAGACATTTTCACCCTCTCAGAAAGAGTCAAATAAAATTGAAGACTGTGAGGAAAAAAGCAAAAACCAAAACTCAGCTTCGATCCCACATTTCTCCACCTGACTATTGATGTCTTACCCTAAGCGTGTAAGTCCTGCCTCCCACACGGTTCCGGGCTTCCAGAACGATCACATTCAGGCCAGAGTCATGCAGAAGTTTGGCTGCTGCCATACCTGGGAGAAAATACAATAAGACATCAGGATCAAATACTTTGCTGGGACTCCAGACAAGCTCTTCATGTGAACAGCCAATGAGAAGAGTCCATGTTGGCTTATGCAGGGCCTACTGCTCCATTCAACTGACAGATGGATAGGGATTTTCAATAGAGGCCTAGAGTCCAAGTCTGGGCAACCAACTGGTATTTCTAGAAAGAACAAAAGGGATTTCATTGTTGCTAAATGTCTCAAATCTTAAAAACATCTTGAGTCACTATATCAAAACATCTAGTTTAACAACTAAATTGCATGTCTGACAACTTAAATGAAAACACAAGGCCACAGTCAAGAGAAATGTATATGAGCTGCAGCAGACAGAAGACCAAGTTCAGCCACTGACTTCATTCTCAGGGCAAATAAAAAAATGGTAAACTGAGGAAGAATGGGCCTTCAAAGCATGTGTAAGGACCTGGGATTTACTGTTAAAATTAGACTTCTGGAAATTAACATAAAGTTTCAAAATCAAGGACCCAGAATTTGACCCTTTATGTGTCCTAATTCCCTGATATGATCCATCAATGAAGAATGAAATGACTCCATTTATGTACCCATTTAATTATTAATTTAGTCAAAAATATTTATTGAATGCCTATTACATTTTTACCACCATAAATTTAGCTTTTAAAAAACTGACAATTTTACTGAGGTAAATTTACATATAATATACTTTACCCAATATGATGGCTAATTTTAGGTGTCATCTTGACTAGACTAAGAGGTGCCTAGATGGCCCATGAAGCATTGTTTCTGAGTGTGTCTGTGAGGGTGTTTCCAGAGAAGATTGACATGTGAGGCGTTGGACTGAGAGAAGAAGACACACTCTTTAAGTGGGTAGGAACCATCCAACTGCCTAGGGCCTGGCTGGGACAAACAGGTGGCAATGGGGGACTCTCTCTCCCTCCCAGAGTGGAGCAAGATGCTGGTTCTCCTTCTGCCTTTGGACATCAGACTCCAGGTTCTTCAGCTTTTGGACCCTGAGACTAGCAGCAGTGGCCTCCTGGGGCTCTCCAGCTTTCAGCCTCGGACTAGGGGCTACACCCTCAGCTTCCCTGGTTCTGAGGATTCCAGACTAAGCCAGTTTCTCTGGGGATCCAGCTTGGTGATGGCCCATCAAGGGGCTTCTCCACCTCTGTGATGGTGGGAGCCAATTCCTTCTAATAAATTCTTTTCTGGCCTGGTGCGGTGGCTCATGCCTGTAATCCTAGCACTCTGGGAGGCCAAGGTGGGAGGATCATTCAAGATCAGGAGTTCAAGACCATCCTGAGCAACTGTGAGACCCCGTCTCTACTAAAAATAGAAAGGAATTAGCTGGACAACTAAAAATATACAGAAAAAATTAGCTGGGCATGGTGGTGCATACCTGTAGTCCCACCTACTCAGGAGGCTGAGGCAGGAGGATTGCTTGAGTCCAGGAGTTTGAGGTTGCTGTGAGCTAGGCTGATGCCATGACACTAAGCTGGGCAACAGAGTGAGACACTGTCTCAAAAATAAATAATTAAATAAATTCCCTTCCATGTGGCCTGTTGGCTCTGTCCCTCTGGAGAACACTGACTAGTATACCCGTTTTAGTTTAGAATTCAGTAAGTTTTGACAAAGTCCAAAGCACAGTGTAGAATTTGTAAAGAAGTTTTTGGTACTAACACATTTTGGGTGTAGTTTTTGGCCACAGAGCTCTTAAAATCCTGCATCTTTAAAACTTCTCTTACAGAATTCTCAGAGAACAGAACTCTCATGCTCTTCTCATGATGAAATGAATTTGCTCAGATCCAGTTACCTTACTTATTTGCTTTATGAGACAAAACAAAATCAAGGAAATGCCAAGACACTGTCATGCCTTACAGATAAATAAAACAGTTTCTATCTTGTCTTTTAAAAATAATAGTTTTGTAACTTTCATACTCCACTACTGCAAAAAAAAAAAGTTCCTATAAAAATAGCTAACACTCAAGTAATATTGAATTCCAAATGTTTTAAGAATTTTTACAACAACCCAGTGATGTAAGTTACTGTTGATATTCCCATTTTATGGCTAAGGGAACTAAACCCCGAAGAGGTGTCCAAGGTCACATAAGGAGTAGGTGGCAAAGCCATTTTCACTACAGCATCTGTATTCACAATCACTACGCAACACCGCCTTCCCTGGGTCCTCATGGCCATCTTCTTCATTGATCGCTTTTCTGAATTTTTGCTACAGGGAGAAATTATATTTCAAAAGATAGCTTTCACTTTATTTGGAACAGCATGTTTTTAAGACACACTTGTATCTTGTGGTTTGATAAGAATCCATCTAACACAAAATATGAGCCCATGTTAAAAACCATAATGAAAAGCTAAGGCTTCAGTCATAATCTATCAGTGATCTTAAAGGAGGAAACTCATTTTTTAGAGAGGCTGATTTGACATTTCATTATTTGAGCTAATTTATCTTCCCATCCCTGTTCCCAGAGGCAGGGCCAAGGCTTCCAATTGGAGGCAGGGTAATGGTCCCAAAGTCCACAGTTCCCACCCAGTGCACACACAAGCATTGTACAGCCCTGATTTAGGAACACAGAGCTTAGATTTTTAACTCCAGTTTTCTAATTTTACCCCCATAAGGGGAAAAAAAACATTTCTATTTAAATTCAAAATTGCAGACAATTTAATGACATTTCTCTTAGCAAGTGTAAGTTCAACAAATGAAATAACATGCAACCATAGTAACAGCTGTTATCGCTAAGTTCAGATAAACCGCGTGAGCAAGCTGAGGCTTAAACAAAAGGGTTCAGAAAAAAATTACATCACTCCTATACACTAGCATTTTACATTCCACAACAGGTACTGTCTTTTAGTAAGTGCAGTTACCCAATAATATCTGATGCTAAACATAAACAGTTATTAAAACAAACCAGGGGCTAATCAAACCACTGAATAGAGTTCTTTATGCTCATGTACCTTAAAAAATTATAAATAGAAAATTACAAAAATGTCTTTAAATAGAGCAACACAAAAGTATGTTGCTGGAAATAGCTCACAATTTAGATCACTGATGTTCACTGGGAGTAGTCAAATGCTTGTTGGGCATCAACTGATAAAAACTGATGTAAAAAATAATTGGTCCAAATATTGGTGGCTTAGGGAAGGCACTGCAATTTAGGAGGAGGGATTTTTAGGGCACTTAAGAAAATGAGGAGCTGGAGACTGGTCAGGAGATGATTAATATTGTCTAGAAGAGGTAGCTCTCAAAAGAATCTCAGTAATGACTAATAAAAGGACTAATGGTTTGATTGTTCAAAGACTAAGCAAACAATTAACTCTACAGAGCCTCCCTGGCTCACAAGAGTTGTTTCCTCGAGTTCCTTTCTATGTTGGTTGTTTGGCAATTGTAACATATTTTGCCATAAAAACAAAAATATGAGAGATGGTACATTCTCTGGGAAGTCTGGGAATTTTCAAGTGAAATATTACTGCAACAAAATCATACTACTGTGAACTAAAATAAAACCTTAAGATTCCCCTGCCCCACCAGCTGACTGAAGGGACTCCCTCTTGGCCTAGGGGATACACTAAAACTGAGTTGCAGGTCAAGAGAGGGAGGTCACACTTGCCTCATCATGCCTCCTTCCCTTTTGCAGATATATTTTGTAACTTATTGACTGACCTAAGCATATGCAAGATTAACCTGCAAGTCCTCAATTTACACAACAAATACATGGTCAGTAGCTTATCTCTGATTAGCAGACATCCTTATCTTAACTTAAAACATTCCAATCCTTTAGAGAAGCTTCATTTTTTTTAATCAATTACAAATCAAAGAGCCTTTAAACTCACCTATAACCTGTAAGCCCTCTCCCCCTTTGAGATGTCTCATCTTTTCACCTTTTCGGGTCAAACCTATGTATGCCTTTCTCGTATTTATTTATGGCTTTACCTATAACCCCTGTCTCCCTGATATGTATAAAACCAAACTGTAACCCAACCACAGCGAGTCTACTTGCTCAAGGCTTTCTGGGCCTGCCTCTGGGACAAAGTCCTCAAATTTGGCTCAGAATAAGCTCTTTAAATTATTTTACAGAGTTTGGCTTCTTTTCCATTGACTTTACTATAAAGTAACAGAAATACACTTGCCTTATGTAATTGCCACTGTTTATCCACTTAACACAATAGTCTCCTGACACAATGCAATAAAAGTTTTTTTAAATGAAAATATCTACAATAATAACAGCCACCGTCATAAGGCATGGAGCACTTTGGTCTGGGTGAAGCACTTTACACACAAAGTTCAACTGATCTTCACCCAATGTTGAGGGGTATTATCATCACTCTCATTTCAAAAAGGAAAAAATGGCAGCTTAGGGAAGTTCAGCAACTTGCTGTAGGTTACATAATTAGTAAGCGGTCAGAGTTCAACCCAAAACCTGAACTCTTAGCCACTATCCTTGGACAAAAAAGGAATAATTAAAAACACAGTAACTCTATATACACACTGATTGATGTAAAGTGTCTTAAAACATTTTGGTCTGTAACTGAATATAAAAATCTTAAAATATCAGCTTCTCTCTTAAATAGATATATAACTTCTGCAAACAATTCAGGAGCAGGCTTATAGTCATTTTGTACTTTTTTTAAAAAAAAAAGCTAATGAAATTTTAATTTAACATGCTGTTTAATATTCAAGTTAATCTCACAAACAAATGACACTTTTAGAAGCAGTCCCTATGTGCCCTTGACAGGTCCTTGGATGGATACTCATCATAGCACAGCTAACACAAATAATGTCAGACTAACGTCTAATGCCACGATATTACAAAAATACTGCATCTCTCTTCCTGAGTAGTTTACCTGGAGAAGGTTGTTAGGCTAAATTTGGAAGACAGTGGAGGCTTGACATTTGGATCCTGAACCCTTCCCCACTTTGGGGCCCTTGCACATAAACAGTCAAAACTCAGTATCCTGCTATTGCAAGGTATTTCCGGCTTATG